CACCCTTCGTAAAATAGTCGCCATAATGTTCTCTATCTTTGAGGATGGAAAAGATTATCCATAGCTCTTCGTCCTTCAGCTGGGCTTGTTTAATCATCATCAGTGTGGAGTCTTCACCTATCATCATAACGGGATACCTGCTCAATGAGTCGACATGTTTCATTCGAGCACCAGCGCGATGTTCAACCTCGTAATCATATTCTTGAAGGAGTAGAACCCACCTTGCGACCCTCGTACATAGATCTTTTTTCTTTAGCGTCTTTGTAAAGGCGTTACAATCGGTTACGATTTTAAAATGTATACCAAGGAGGTACACCCTAAACCTTTTCAACGTCTCGATGACAGCTAATATCTCCAGCTCATAACTCAAGTACTTTCGGTCAGCATCCGTAGTTTTCCTGCTCATATAGTACACAGGATGTAGTTTTCCATCATTCGCTGCTACCTGCATTAAAACTGCACCATAACCCTCAATTGACGCCTCTGTGTGGACTTCGGTTTTACTGTCCTGATTAAAAATACTAAGGACGGGCTTATTCACCAACATATTCTTTAATTCATTAAAGGCTGTCATTTGTGGATCCTTCATTTCGAATTTTGTATTAGACTTCGTCAGATCGCTTAACGGTTTTGCAATCAAGGAGAATTGGGGTATAAATTTTCGAATATATCCAGCTAACCCTAGAAAACTTTGTAGTTGCTTCATATACCTCGGAATCGGGAACCTTAAAACGGCTTCAACTTTACCAGGCGACGGCCCAAAAACTCAATTCTCGTCTCCAAAAATTTACATTTCTTTATATTCAATTCGAGGCCATAGTCCACGCAAAGCTTTATCACCTCTTCTAAATTCTTAACAGATTCGTCCTCATTTGCGGCTGGAATAATAATATCATCCACATACGGCAAGGCAATGCCCATACGAGTCAAGTCACGAAAAATTGTATTTACGAATCTTTGAAATACTGCTGGCGAATTTGACAGACCAAATGGTACCTTCGTGAATTGGTACTGCCCGTTGTGGGTAACGAAAGAAGTATACTTACGGCTTGCCTCTGCGACATCAACATGGAAGAACCCATTTTTAAGGTCAATGGAACTAAACACCTTGGCATTCTGGAGTCGATCAAGTTGATCTTCTATCAGTGACAATGGATATCGATCTTTCACAATAACTTTGTTCACTCTTCTATAATCCACGCATAAACGTAAAGAGCCGTCACGTTTTTTCACCATAACGATAGGGCTGCTAAAATCTGATTCAGATGTCTCTATTACACCTTCTCGTAGCCACTGGTTGACCTGGTCCTCAACTGCTTTCCTTTCTGCCAGGGGTAATCGTCTCGGTCGTGAAAATATTGGAGATTCATCCTTTAAAACGATGGCCATCTCAACACTGGTGGTCTTTCCGTTTAGCAACTGGACTAGCACTAGCATTGATGTCAATTTCCTCGGGCATAATGTCTATTTTCATTACGGGAAATTCGTCATTACCTATAATTTTTCTAAAATGTAAACCGTCGCGACGAATGTCTATTTCCGCGTATTAACAAAACTTCTCACCGATAATCACATCAGTATCAATAAATTTAGACGAGACTACCACGAAGTTCACATTGTAGGTCTCATTATCAGGTTTTGTTCTATTTTGGCCGAATCCAACGAGATGAAAATCAGCCTTTTCAAGTTTCGCGCCGTTCAAATGTCCAAACACAATATCACTCATTATGATAAACTTGCTACCGGTATCGAACGGAGCAGTGTATTCTCGACCGCCGATATTTACACTTTTCGTCATCACCAAATTTTGCGATTTCAAGATACGAGTATTAGTTTTATTGTCCTCCGTTCTGTCAGGACAGTTTTTAGCAATATGACCGAATTTATTGCAATGGAAACATTTTGTTCCCTTCTTATCCGTACACTCTTTCGACTTGTGTCCTTTCGAACCGCAATTAAAACACATCAAATCACTTTTCGGCTTATCTTGATTCACATCACTTTTGTCCTTAAATTTATTTTCCGTTCTTTCCCGAATTGGCTTCTGTTCCACTTTCGATCGAAATTTCTCATAGCATACCAATTTTCTTTTAAAATCTTTCATATTACAAGCACCGTATAAAATCGATTTATTCACATTCAAGTCATTTATACCGTCAATAACGTATTGTATAACCGAATCGTCATCGATATTACCCCGCGACGCGTTTTCCTTAATATGAAGAAAATATTCTTGAACGGTTTCGCTTTTTCTCATTTTCCTTTCGGACAGCTGCTTATGGATCTGCGCACTATTAATAGTTGAACGAAACTCTCCGATCAAGGCTGCCTTAAGTTTTCTCCAGGACGTTATGCCACGCTCGCTTTGAATAAACAGTTTTGCCAAGCCACTTATAGACTTTTTGGTAAAAACATACATTTGTAATTCGTCCTAATTTATTATAGCGGCTGTCTCTTCGAATTCCTCCACCCAGGCATCGATAGGTAAGTCTCCCTTGCCATCACACGTCCTTATCGAGTCCTCTATGTCTCGAAAACTCATTGCGAATCTTGAAACTTGTGGTCGTATCGCTCGCGTTGTCATTCTATTCACACAATTATTGTCTTCAACAGACAAAAAACTGTCGTCTACGTCGTTTACTTCTGTATTCTCGTTTTGATTGATGTTTTTGCTTGATGATGTTCTACAACACACTTCATAACACCACAACATGCAACTTCTTCTTCATCGCAGCTTGCGTCGTCGTCCTCGTCGTTGATTGCGTTGAGCAGAGCACCTTTTTTCAATTGCCGAAAAATATGTTGTGTCAAATCTCCGTCGTCATAATTTATACACAAAATGTTTCAATTGCCCCCAAATTGTGGAGTCTACGTTTTAGTTTTCAATTAAATAATCCATAGTTTATTAAGAACATTTATTGATGATATAAAAAGTAGATAAAAGTTTAAAAAAATAAGTAAAAAAAACGTTTAATATAAAAAGTTACGCGTCACACACGTTTTCATTATGCAACGATCGAACACAGACTGACTGATTGCTCTTTTCGGGTTGGTTGCATGAACTCATCCCACATTACTGTTTTAAAAATCAAAATTTTAAGTTATTGTATATTTTTTAATATTTTTCTTCCATTGTTGGAGAAATTTATTTCATTTTAGTTTCTACACAAAACAAAAAGTTGAAAGTTGCTGAACTTTTCGCGGCAGACGCGTTACAAACTACAATGTGAAACTTGTTAAATGAAGATACACTATTTCAACTTTTTTTTTGACAGAAGCTTATTATGCATTGCCGCGTACAACGCGTGTATTTTTTTAGGTATGACCCCTAAGTATGCGAAGCAATGTGTTGGAACTAGGAAAATAGGTTGTGGGAAGGAGGATAGAGGGAGTAGTGTTTGTGGACATTTGATTTAAATCTTCTTATATCGATAGTGGCAGGGAATACTTCTGCAGGAAGTTTATTCCACATACGAACAGTGCGGCTGAAGAATGAATTTTCCCTGTAATGTGTTGTGCGGACCACTGGCCAATCTACCAGAAATGGGTGTGTTCTTGAAGAAAGACGTGTGTTACGCAAGATTACGGGTATCGGGAACAAGTTCCCTAATTTCAAAGGAACACATTCCATTGTAGTATCGATAGAACAGTGAAATACACCCCACGTTGCGACGGTGCTCAAGAGTTGGATACCCTACTGTCACTGATAAGTACCTTCGCCCTCTCCTGTACGCGGTCGAGTAGCTCTAAAATAGACTTCCAAGCTCCGGCCCATACATGAGAGTTGTATTCCATTTTCGGTCGGATATAAGTGGTGTAAATTGTAAGAATATCAGATGGAGTGAAGTTTGTCTTACACCGTTTCAAAAAACCGAGACACTTGAATGCTTCTTTCGACACTTGAAAAATGTGTTTAGTCCAGCGGACATCGCACTGAATTTTCATGCCCAGAACATCAAGAGTTTCTGATTCCTTAATATTTACACCACCCATATATATAGATGGAACAACAATATCTGCCAAGCGTTTATGTGTTAAAAAACAACATTGAGTCTTACGGGCGTTAAAATCGACTCTGTTAACACGACCCCATTCAGATATTTTTATCAAGTCATGATTAAGCGGTTCATTCATATTGCGCCTCATTGCCTCAATTTCTAGAGTGCTTGGCCTAGGATTGAATGAATAAGAATGGCAGATACTGCTGTCATCCGCAAAAGAGTAGATAGAGTTGGAAGTTTGACAGAGAAGATAATTTATAAAGATAAGAAATAGGGTAGGGGAAAGAACGGAGCCTTGCAGTACCCCTGAATTAATCTTGAACTCGTTTGATGAGATCCCATCTATAACAACTCGTATAGTGCGATCTCTGAGAAAGCTCGAAATAAATCGAGAGAAGTTATTACCGACACCAAATGCAATTAGTTTTGATACAAGTGCACCATGCCACACTCTATCAAACCCCTTTGAAATATCTACAGCCACCACTTTACTTTCGCCAAAATGGTGAATGGAATGACACCATTTCTCCGAAAGGAAGGCTAGTAAGTCACACGTAGAGCGACCTCTACGAAAGCCATACTGGCGGTCGTTAAGTAAATTGTTGGTCTCTAAATACTTGACAAGATGGATATTGACCATACTTTCCATAACTTTAGAAAGTGCTGAACAGATTGTTATTGGACGGTAATTTTCAGGATTATTAGCCTCTCCCTTTTTAGGAATTGGCGTTACATTAGCAATCTTCCACCATGCAGGAAATTTGACGGCATGGTATAGAATGCTAAAAAGATTAGCTAATGGACGAGCTAGCGTCGAAGAGCACTGTTTCAAGACCAGCGCCGGTATGCCATCTGGTCCAGGAGACTTGTTAATGTTCAGATCTGTTAGAACCTTTTTAACGGCACTCGCTCGAAAGAATATATGCGTTGCCGCGTACAACGCGTGTTGTGTACTTCCACATTAAAGGTCAATAAACTTAGAAACGTTATCTCAATTACCTCATATATTCATCAACGAGACCTCGCAACTCTTTATGAATAATAGCAAGTTCATTCTCAGTGATCCATTCTTTGATAACATCATGTTTTTTATTTAAATATTCGTCAACATTTTTCCAATCAATTGAAAATTGTGATAAGGTGCTTTCGATTTTTTCTAAAGAGAGAGAGAGAGGACAATGAAAAATTTATTAATTTTTGTGTAGATTTACAGCTTAGTTAAAACAAGGTGGAGTGTTAATTTCGGCTATTCCGAATCTTATATATCATGTCATAAATTCAGCGTTACCGTTGTGAGACTTAAGTCGCAATTTGACCCTTTTCAAGTGCTTTGCCACTTTTTGTGACCCCTTGTCAAAATAAACTAAATTTGCGATTTTTTTAATTTCTTGAGACTCTTTAACAGACAACTTTAACAGACATTCCCCATTTTCTCAATGTGTGGTTATATTTTATCGGAACGATCGATTGTCAGAATATCTAGAGGTTAAACGATAACCGGAGATTAAGATAACGGACCACAAACTAGTTTGATAATACCCGAAATCTTTGTTCAAAAATGTATATTTAAGGTCCGCTTTAGAAAATTACTTTTTGTTAATGAACAGACATTATCTTTCTTTAAAAAGGTATATCCCCCAGAAAATGCAAGTTTAACGCTCATAATAGTATTTAACTTCTATAGAATCCGAATAGACTTTATTAGGATCGAGATATATTTAACCCATAAAACATAAACTAATTATGTAGAAACCAAAATCTTTTTACCAAATTTTATGAGGATCTGTTTATAGTTGACACTACACCCATAGGACCTTTATCTCCTACACAAAATAACTTTAACACTCATTACAGATTTAAAAATGTTATACCTATGAAATTTGGCATAAATAAATTTTAAAGAAACCAAAATATTCCTACCAATGTTTATGTGGATCGGTCTAATGTTCTTACCCCCATTGAATGCACTATTCAGAAAATAGTATTGTTCATGTAACTATTGATATAGTATAACTATATGCGGTGAAATATAGGATTATATTCCGAAACTCGCTTAAAATTTATTTATTTAAAAAAAAATTAAAAATTATATTGTAATTTGCGGTTAAGCCCATAATTTTTATAGAAAAATATGTTTTTACAAGTAGAAGATGTTCAACGATTTTATATTGGCTTTTATACAAAATTGAATAAAAAAACGTGTATTTCTCGTAAAAAATCACTAAAAAAATATTTTCCAACTTTCAAAGATAAAATTTTGTATATATGTACTATAGAAAATTAAATTTTTATTTCTAAATACAGTTGATTTATTTCGGAAAAAGTAGTAAGACGCTAAAGATGGTAGTTCAAAGGAAAATTAACTGCTCGAATATACTAGGTTCGGGAAAAAAAGTGTCAGCCATAAAAAACTAACAAATATGTATGTTTAAACTAAAAAATAAAATTTCGATATATTTTCGTAAAGGGATCAAAATTTTAAAATTTATATTGAGAAGTTTCTTGAAAGCTTTAAAATACTTTGTTCAATAATATCGTCGACCTCTGCTATTTTTGAAATAACCTATTGGAATAGGTTAAAATTAATCAAGAATAAGCTTATTTCAGGAAATTGTAATCAGTGGTGATAGAGGGTATATATAAGTTTGTCATTCCGTTTGTAACACCGAGAAATAAAAGAGAACAAAGAATATATATTCTTGGTCCTTATGAAATTCTGAGTCGATTTAGATATGTCCGTCTGTCTGTATAAAACACGCTCACGTTAAAACGAAGCAATTCACCCAAAATATTCACTGTTTTCCTAAGCAATTTGGTATTGAAAATCAGTAAGATCGTTAAAATAGGTTCAGAGTTATTAGTAAAAATTTTAGACACATATTTATTTGAGAGATATAACTCTTGCTGCCAGGATCAACGTTGTTAAAAATCGGGAAAATCGGTTTACAATTTCATAAATCTCCCATACAAATGTACATATTCCCGGAAGTGAAATTATTGTTAATAACTTCCGTAATAATGCCGATATCTTTACAAAATTTTACAAATTTAAGTTTTATGCCAATAGAATTCATATAAAGAAACAATGTTCTGAATCGGTCCACAATTGTTCATAGCTCCATACAAGGTCTCCTTCTCAAAAACACTTAAACGCATATTTCTCATTACCAAATAAAGATATCCATGTAAAATTTAGCACAAACATTGCTTTTATATACAAAAATGATACTGTAAAATTTGTTCGCGATCGGTCCGTAATTGGTCGTAGCTCCCATACAAGGTCCCCTTTCGAGAATCAAACACATATTACTAATTACCAAAAAATGATATCCATAAAAAATTTTGCACAAATATTTATTGTTGAATTTTGTCAGACATATAGTTTGGAGATCCACTGTGTTGAAAATGGAAATCAGTCCACAATTTCTTGTACCATTCATAGGGATTAAAAAATTGATTATTTTTCGCCAAAATTAAATAAACACTGTCCAAAACGAACAGGATTTACAACTAATGATGTTCATATAGAAATTTTGTTTCCTGTTTGTGTAAAAAATTGTTGCTAACCCCAGATCAAATAAAATGTGCACATTGAGAAAGTGTAACTGTTTAAGAGTTATTCAACAATAAAAATTTAAAACCAAATTTGTATACCCTCCACTACACCGTGAAATATTCATCTGAGACCCAACAAGGTATATATATTATTGGTCCTTATGAAATTCTGAGTCGATTTAGATATGTCCGTATGTCTATATAAAACACGCTCACGTTAAAACGATTATCTGTTGTTATCCTAAGCAGTTTGGTATTGAAAATCAGCAGGATCGGTAAAATAGGTTCAGAGTTATGAGTAAAAATTTGAGACAACCTCGAAAAGATATCCATACAAAATTTAGCATAAACATTGCTTTTATATACAGAAATGATATTGTAAAATTTTATAAAACCAATTATTTTTTCATAGTATCAACAACGTTGAAAATCTATTGTACCTCCTGTACAAAATTATATAAGTTTTATAACTGATGATCAGTTATATTGCCACACATTTTTCTCGCACATAGAAATTATTTTAAATACAGAACATATGATCTATATAGGTTAACATCTGTTAAATTTTGTATTCTATGTAACATTACGTTAAGTGGTAGTTTTGTTTTTAATTGCATATTGTAATGTAAAATCAACATGGAAAAATGTTGATTTCGAGTCATTGTAAATTTTTGACAAAATTTTTAAAAAATGTATATTCAACATTGTTTCTATTTGAATCAACATTAAAAGATGTTAATTTAAGCTTAAAAATAGTTGTTTCAACATAATTCGTTTTGAAATAAAATTGTGCACATTTGATTCAACATCTTATAATGTTAAAATAGCAGTTTTCAATGTTGATTTTATAAAATGCATTTTTATAGTAAAAACAAAATTTTTTTAACGTAAAATCAACATTGCGTTTAGTTAAAATAACATGGGCCAATGTTAATTCAACATTTTATTTACAATAAAATCAACATCGAAACATGTTGAAACAACATGTGAAAATTTAAAATGATTAACGAATTGCAATTAAAATGGTTTCAAGTTAAATCAACATTAATCCATGTTAAAACAACATTGTTTTCATGTTAAATCAATATTGGTTCATGTTTAAAAATCATTTAAAAATTACAGTTTTTATATAAATTATAAATAACATCGATTCAAGTTAAATTAACATTGAATCATGTTGAATCGATATCAGATAATTTTAAATTGACATTGATTCATGTTAAATCAACATTGCATCATGTTAAATCAACATTATACCAAGATAAAAATAATTGGAATTAGATTGAAATGAAGTTGTTGAATTTTGAATTAACATGAAAAAGAGTTGAAATGAAATCATGTTGAATTCTGCAAAAAGTGCCGCTATTTTGGAATATAAAAACTGCATCATTCATCTTTTAGTACAGCTTGAATAAATATCGTGCGTGTTTTATTATAAAAGCGTGGTTTAAAAGTAAATTAAATTAATTATTTCTAAACATAAAAATATATATGTCTTTGCCAAAGAATAATAATATTCATATGTCAAGTGTTGTGGAAGAAATTGTACCAATTGAAGAAACCATGAATTTCTTAAGTGACGAAGATGGTAATATTAGATTAAATATTCCAGTTGTTCAGAATACTATCGAAAACTCACAATTAGATGAGCTGCTGCAAACTTTTAACTTAATTGAAGTAAAACCTTATTTAACAAGTAAGTAAGGGCATTTAATGGATTTTTTAAGATAATTTTACAAATGTCATTTATTTATTTAGATGCTCAAATTACATTTTATAGTTTAAAGTATTTATCAAAGGAAGATATTAAAGAAGCCATACCCCCTATTGGTATTCGTGCTTGTTTCCGAGAAAAACTTTTTAGTTGGAGAAAAATTGAGGTATTAAACATTATTACAACTATGTAGTTGAGAATTAATGAATACTGTTATTAATGTATCAGTATGGAATTGATGGCGAAACATTGTCTGAAGAGAAAGTAGTTTCATGGCTACAAAACCAATCTAATATTGGCACATCATCAACACCAACATCATCTTTTTCTCTATCGGTTGGAAATTCTAAGTTATCAAAGATGAAAGATTAAAGCAGATTAGAAGACAGTCTTAAGGGGAAATCTTTAACAAGTTTTTATGAACAAAATGATAACTTGACAGATTCACTTCGTGCAGAATTGATTAACATAATTTTGGAAGATATATTTTATCATGAAGCTAAATTATCACCATAAGATTTGCCAATTATAGTGGACGAAATTGTCAGCAACTTCCCCAGTAAGATAAGTGCTTTTAATTAAAAATTTAATACAGAAATAACTTTGTTTCGTTAACTATTAGGAATAATATTTTACTCCACGGGGTAGAAAGGCGAATCCAGGAGGGAAGCTTTAGGATAAATATGTTAATTAAAGACAATTTAGATGCTTCGAATTCTAACTCGCTGACTGGTAATTCTGAACTCGATGAATCAATTTTACTAGCTTTAAAAGCTAACCTTTCTAGAGATTTTTCTAATCGGGATGAAGTTAAAGATAAATGGCAACGAACATTTTCAAAAAAGGTTTCTATACCAGATGCTAACGAGAGTTTTATTGTTCACCTT